CTAGGCTGGCAGCTTTGTTTTTTACTGAATCACTATTTTCCTGCTTCCTCCTTCCTACAGAGAGTTCCACTTCTCTTGGCCTTTCTGTTTCCTAGATCATTCTTTGATTTCAATACTTAATGGCACTTATGTGTCTCTGTTTTCACAGAATCCAAGCATAGTCTAGGAAAGGTGGGCTGTATCTCTTACAGACTCTTAAAGCCAGATCTTGTTTGACCTTGGGGATCTTCACAAGGTCCATCCTTATCTCTCACACATCTGGTAAATAATCTTCCAGGAGTTGTCCTAGCGCTATCTGTTTAGCTTTAGGCCCAGATCTCTTCAGGGACTCTTGAGTTCCAGGGGGCTACCAACACAGATCTTTGTCTTTAGCAAATTTATGATTTCTGTTGGCCTTAAGGTCATTGGTTTGGTTCTCCTTGATAATTCTTACTTTCATTTCTTCTTTCTGTCTCTGTCACATTCATACACACACATTTATGCACACTGAGAGCTGAGCATTCATTGTGTAAGATGCTTTTTTTTTTTTTTTTTTTGGCAGCTGGCCAGTAAGGGGATCCGAATCCACGACCTTGGTGTTACCAGCACCATGCTCAAACCAAATGAATTAAGCAGCCAGCCCTCATTGTGTACGATGCTTTTAATAACCCTATTCCATGTTGCGTTGTAATCCTGGCCTCTGTAACACATCTGTAGATGGGAGGCCCAGACACAAATGGAATAGGATTGTCTCTTTGGTTGGATAAAGTATAACATCCTGTATGGCAGTCAAGGCTCTGTGAAGGCTGGCACTAATTCAGCTCTTGAGCTGCATCTCCACTGTTCCCCAGACTGGAGAGCTCAACAATTTCTTTTCTTTTGTGCCTCTCTGCCTTTGCTTACACTGTTTACTTTTCCGGTAAAGCTCTTTTGTCTCTGCTCTGCAGGATGGATGAACTCTTATTAAACCTTCAGGATGTAGATCAAACTCTTGAAACCTCCTCACCTCCAAGTCATTATTTACTCTTCTCTTCTAATATACCCATCACATCAAATACAGACCTCTGCTATGCCACGTAGTCACTTTATTTGCATGTCTCTATCTACATCCCTTCCAAACTCTGAGCTGCTTTAAGGCTGCATCAGCTCTTGTGTGTGGCCCTTAGCAGATGTCCAGGAAGAGTTTGTGGTACAGTATGTGGGCCTTGAGCTGGTTAACCCTGCAATATTTGTCTCAGAAAAGAGGGGAAGGGGTAGGTTATTTTGTTTGGGAGATGAGGGAAGGAACAGGATCAGAAACCAAGAGACTGGGAGGAAGGACAGGCCCAACAAGGAGAGGGCCCACATGGCTGGAGTCATGGGGTTGTCTGCGGACACTGGGAGAGGGTGAGAGGATGGAGTCCCAGACTAGGTAGAGATCATGGAAGGCCCTAAAAGTTGGGGCTAAAGAATTTAAAATTTACTCTGATGACACTGAAGATTTTTGAGAATGGAGAAGACATGATGAAAGCTGTGTTTTGAAGAGGATTCTGGGCTTGAAATTCTGGATTCAGGTTGGAGGGACAGGGAGGAACTTCTTGCAAGAACAGGCTGTTGGAATAACCCACTGAGGTAGTTTAGGACCTAGATCAAGGCAATGGCAACAGGGATGGAGAGGACGGAGCAGAAGCAAGTGAGCCTGCCAAGAAATCCGGCCAAATTTGGTGGCTGATTGGATTTGAGGGAGAGAGAAAAGAGTAAAATTGGACACTGACATTTGGTGCTAGTTTGCTGGGAGAA